AAAACGCAGGACACGGTCACTAGCACGATCGGTCGATGGATGTATTACATCGACCAGTTCGACTTCGACCTATGCCACATTCCCGGTGCCGCCAACCGAGCAGCGAACAGCGGACGCCCTCTCACGACGACCCGATTTTTGTGCCCTCGTGACTACGACGTTCCAGCTCGACGACGACCTGCAGCAACACTTCGTCAACGGCTACAAGTCCGACTCGACATACTCCACGTTCTGCGCGGAGCTTTCGTCGGATCACCCGCCGGCTGGTCACTATCGTATCCCCGACGGGTTCCTACTCCTCCACAGGAGAGGAAAGGACTTGTTAGTGGTGCCCCAAGGTCGCATCCTACAGACTCGTCTTCTTGGCGAATTCCACGACGCACGACTTTCGGCACACCTCGGTGTGATCCGCACATTGGCCCGCCTCCGCCAGTGTTTTCACTGGCCTGACGTTCTTCATGATGTCACGAGGTACATTGGGTCATACACGGTTTGCCATCGTAACAAAGGTAGATCTCAGGTCCCTTATGACGAACTAAAACCGATGCCAATCCCTCGGGCATTGCGCCTCTCCATTGCTATGGATGTTACAGATCCGTTTCCCCGCTATCGCCTCGGTCATGACAGCATCCTCACGGTCGTTGACCGTTTGAGCAAGTACGCTCATTTTCTTCCATGCACGTACCGTGTTACAGCCCCCAAGCTCGCACGACTCTTGCACACCGGCTGGATTACCTGCCATGGTGTACCCGAAGACATTGTGAGCGACAGAGACACTCGCTTCATGTCAGCCTTTTGGACTTCCCTCATGACGGAGTTCGGTTCGACTATGAAGCCGAATTCCGCACGGCACCTGCAGACGGATGGGAAGTCAGAACGAGCGCATCAGACCGCTCAAATGATGTTACGTACACTCATCCGTCCCAACCAGAAAGATTGGGTTGACCGGCTTCCGACATCGAGTTCGCCTATAACACTTTGGTGCACCCGGCGATCTGCATCACTCCATTTGAGTTGCATCACGGTGGAGAGAGAGCCCAAGTCTTTGCCGATCTTCTTGTACCACGGGCCGCCGACATCGACGTCGCTTGCTCTCCCGCTTCCGTTTAGAAGTACCAGGACTTGCTGACCAAAGCCCACGTGAACACGCAAAAGGCTCAAATCCGCATGCAGCAGCAAGCCAACCGACATCGAGTCCCATGTCCTTTCCGCGAGGGAGACCTTGTTTGGGTCCTCGCTGAGGAATTCGCGCTGGAGCAAGACGTCTCGCGCAAACTCCTCCCGAAATGGTTTGGACCATGGAAGGTAATTTCTGCCGCAGGCCACGACCTTGCAGGTCCTTCCTTTGTGATTGCCATCCCTCCGCACCTCCGCGTGCACCCGGTCTTCCATGCTTCGAAGCTGGCTGTCTATACGTCACCATCCGCAGACGAGTTCCCGGGCAGACGATCACAGGATCCGCCCTCTATGGACGGCCATCAGGAAGTTGACAGTGCCATCATGCACCGCAAGTTTGGCAACAAGCCAATGCAATACCAAGTCACCTTCAAGCAATGTGACCCGGATGACGCTCGTTGGATCTCCCGCGCAGACTTACAGGCATCTGCACCACTCATCTTCTCCGATTACGAGAACCGGAGACTTGCCAAGGACAAAGTTCGTCCCACCCGACCCAGCCAGGTATCGGACAGACAACTTCGCCCTTGCAGGTAGCTCAGTCTTTTAAGGGGGGGATTTTGTTACATTCTGCGACTTCACACGGGCCTTCACAGGCCCAACATACCGGTTCAGGGGTACCCAGGCCGGCCTCGCCAAAGGCCAGGCCTTTTTCTCCCGGTAGGCCCTGCCAGGCCACCGGTTGGCGCCTCAGCACCTAGCAGACCAAGGTTAGCCCAAACGACATGACCGTTTGGGCCTGGCAGCGCTCTTGAGGCTGTCGCCCGCCGGTCTGAGCTGAACGGTCATTTCGACGGTTCAGCCCACGATGCAGGAGGCCAGCATTGAGGCCGACCGGCTGCCAGACGGTACTTAGGCCGGTCCAGCGGCCATTCCCGGGGGTTGGACAGGAGCAGCCAGTAGTCCTGCGCTATTTCGGTTCAGCACAGCGCTAGGAACTGCAACGCTAGTTTTAGCGCACTGCAGTCCAGGAGGAGCGAGGAGGACTCACCTGAGACAATGGAGCGCCATAGCTCCAGCGATCTGCAGCAGGACTCACGCCGCCGCCAAGACGCCAACTTGCTATCTGCAGGTTCGGCCTGAGGTCCCTCACCAGCTCCCCCCATCTCTACCTCTCCTCTCCAACTCAATCTTCTTCTTCTTCTTCTCCTTCTTCTTCTCTTCCTCAGACTTCTCCTTCCTCTCTCTTAGACTTCTTCTTCTTCTTCTTCTTCTTCTTCTTCTTCTTCTTCTTCTTCGTCGTCGTCAGACTGGAGACGTTGATACAAGTTGGACAGAGATCAGCGTTTGGACTTCGGTGGTAGGAGGCTGTGATACTTACCGGATTCGAGACCTTGGAGATAGTTGGGATTGATACTCACAGATTGGACACCTGTTACATTAAGACTCTGTACCTCTGACATTGGTGACTTATTGTCCACGACATTCTGATCTTTGTTCGGTGACATTTTGGACTACCATATCGGTGACCTTCTGGATTCTATCTCGGTGACATCTGGCGCTGCCTATACCTCCCACCTCCATCGTCTCTCCTCCCACCTTTTATCTGTGTATGGTTGTACGGGGCCTGAAGCATCGTCTATGGTTGGCTTCACACCCCACCATCTCCCCATTGCTTGTGTGTTGAGTGATGTCTGGATGAGTTCAGTCTATGTGAGTCAGTCCATTTCTCAGACTTCCGCTGTATACATGCTCATCCTATATTGGTTGATCTTTGGTTCTGCCCATACTTGGTGAAGTATTCACCAGTATGCAACAGTAACAGGTTCTCGAGTAAGTGCAGCGAAGACGGGTATTTCGAGAGTCTCGCCTCTTGGACAATGCTAGTCGAAGGGCCTCGCCGGACGACACAACTAACGAAACAAAACGACCAGCAGAGTTGCGAGGCCTCACGAAGCCCTGATCCACCGTTTCGCTTCGTTTTTTGCCTCACCGCCCCACAGCACACACGAAAACTCTTGCGGCAACGGCCTGGCGTCGCTGGCGAGAGTAGTGCGGGATTCGTTTCGCTACAGTCCAAATTTGTGGACGCTACTGTCCAATTTTTTGGATGGACCTCGGTTGGAGTGATGCGGCACACTCGTGAGATTTCGCAGCTCCTCCAGCCGACTAGCGGAGGACCTACGAGTTTGCGAGAGCTGCAGGCAGGGAGGAGTCGGCACACTCGTGAGGCCTCGCGAACTTGGAGTCTGACAGCATTCCCGACCCTTTTCTGACAGAGGTCGTGTGGGTGCTGTGCGGCGACTCCTTCACGAAACGAAGTCATTTTTTTTTTAGTTTCGTGCACCGTGCGGCGAGGCCCGAAGAGTCTATAGAGTAGTGCAGCGAGGCCCAAGATCAAGTGTATTATCTGTTCCGATCCGTCCTCACTGCACTACTCTCCAAATGAGCAAAATGGGACTGAATCTTCCGCTAGAAGATGGGAAATTCAATATACACCGCCATGTTTTTTGTCTTTTGCCAATGTGGAGAGTAGTGCAGTGAGGCCCAAAATCTGATCCGTGGTCCATCGGGCCACAACGAATAGAAGACAGAAAAGAAATCATGGACGTGCTATTGTTTTTATAAAAAAGCTGAAAATAAAATCATGGAGGTCCTAAACACATAACAGCCAACGAATAAAAAACAGAAAATAATTTTTTATTTTTTTTTTAAAGGCTAATTCTTTAAGCCCAACCAATTCAATTACCTGTCAAATCTGGACAGGACGACCTTTCAGGCCTTTTTTATTGTCATTATAGTATTCCGGGGAGCCCCGTAGCAGCCACATCCTTGCTCAAGCCTCCAACGAGGGAACATGCGGGAGCTGCACCCACCAGCAGGTGCTATACCTGCTACAGCAGGTGGGCGATACCGGCCAGGGGTCAGCCGGTAGCATCAGGGCCGAGCTTCTTCGATGGGCCAGTCACTGTGCCTCCCCTCTGGTCCCCTCCCCCTATGAACATCAGCAGTCTCTGCTCAATGACCAACGACATATCTCTAGGTGGCGGGTGCCAAGCTTGCCCAGGAAGGTGCATGAGGCCAATGGGGATTGAACCCATGACCTCCTGAATGCCACTTGGGTACCTTACCAACTGAGCTAGATGGCTGGATCCAGAAAAGAAATCATGGACGTGCTGTTGCTTTTATAAAAAAGCTGAAAAAAAAATCATGGAGGTCCTAAACACATAACAACTGCATGTTGAAGTTGAACTTTGAAGAAAAAAAAAAAAAAAAAAAAAAAAAAAAAAAAAAAAAAAAAAGGATTCTGTCCCCCA